CCAGCATCTGCAGTTCCTGCTATCTCTAGTATTGTATGGAGTTTGGTTAAAGGGGAAAGGAGGTGCTTCATTCCCTTTTTCTTTCTCTATCTTGAGATTTAAGGAGCCCAGGTTAGAGATATTTCTTTAGAGAAAAGCTGAACAAGAGAGGTGAATTTTGAAAATAGACAGAAGTGATATTGCAGGGTAAACATAAGCACCTCAAGAGGAATTGAAAGCTAGTGCAGGATGAGTGATGGTCTTGGTAAGTAAGATCAGGTGAGTATTTCTACTGTCCAGTCCTTCATGCAAACACTGTGATCTTTAGATTAAGTGTTTGAAGACATAAGGAATAAGATAAGTTCCCAGTTATATATTTAATTCAGGAAGGAAAGAAAATGGAAAGCATAAAATGTGTGAGAGCAGTCGTCATGGAGGATTCTATTTTAAGGAAATTTCTGTGGTACCAGAATGGTATATTGTCTCCAAAATGCCAAGTTCAAGGATGTCACTGAATGGCTGCAGGGCATTCTGAAGGGAGACAGAGAGAGACAGAAAAGCACAAAGCAAAAACGTAGGCTGAGGAAACTAGTGCTAGCAGCAAATAGGGCCACAGTACAAAAACAAACTGTGACTATGTCAAAAAGACAAGGCTAAAGGCACTGTATCTGAGTGCAGAGCACACTTGCAATAGGTAGACAAAATTAACAGTCCAACTAGTTGTAAATGGGTATGATATAATTGCAATTGCAGAGGCTTGGCTGTGGGATATCCAGGGCTAGAAATTGAATATTCAACAGTATTCAATCTTTAGGAAAGACAGTAAGAAGAAGGAGGAGGTGGGGTGGCAGAGTTAATGACAAATGAAATCAATAATGGGAAAATTATGGTTTCCTTAGCCAGACGTACCTGAATATTCTGGCAGAAACTTGAAGAGATATTAGGCACCCCATATGGCATTCAAAAGAGCACTTGCCATATCCCAGATACAAGCTAAGCCCTTTATATTCCAACCCATAAATTCATAACCTCTTTGTATGTCTAAAGCTCACAATATATGGCAGGCGTGGATCAGTGGAAGCTCGGATAGTCAGAAAGTCATGAGATAAGTCCCGTCCAGAGACGTGAACCCGTAAGGTAACCTGCCACTCCAGTGCTATCGTGCAGCTTGCTGCTAAATGCAGTATCTTTTAGATGAAAAGTGAAATCAAGGCTCTATTGCCACATAAAAGCAGAAAGTTTTCTGATCTACCTAGGTGTAGTCCAAGTCAACTGTTACCCCTCAGTCTGTATTATGGAGTCATTTATTTCATCAGTGTTTGTGTGACCTTGCTGACTGCTCTGTTTTCTCTCGAGCAGGGGTGAATATTCTTGAAACATGCTGAATCGTGTGTGAAATGGTTTGGGATATCATGGGAGGGTAAAAAGGCCTAGATCAAATTTTGTACCATTCCATAAGGGCCTACATCTTGCAGTCTGAACCTAGTTTAAAACTCATTTGTTATACTTACTTGGCTAAAGGTGAGCAATGAGCTGCACTGACATTTGGAAAATCTATGCTCCCCGATGCCACAATTTGACGATCAACAAGAAACTTTAAGCTGTTGGGGTTTGGTGTGTCCTGGGTCTGTATCGCCATGAATCGTACTATAAAGAAAATATTATATTAAAAAATATTTACTAAAGCTGAGCTCTAAAATACACTCTATACTACATTAGTTGATGTATTCACAGGTTTTGTTGCATTTAAGTAAGCAGTAATTGTGAGGTGTGGGTATGCACTGGTGTAATTACATCGGGCCTCAATTGCTTATGTTGCAATTAACTGCATGGTCAACCTGTCCAGTAAAGTAAAACTGTGCTTTTAACATATAGAAGGAAGAGGTCAATCCTTTGTTTGTCTAGGCAGTTAAAGGTCACAGGTTTGGAAGTTGTCGAAGGGGCCTTAGCAAATTACTGTATTGCATGTTGCAGATGGGACAGTGTGCAGCCAATATTCATAGGTGTTGGAAAGGCTGCCAATCAAATTGAGATATATACAGCTGGAAACCTACTCTGATAGCTCATTCTTTCTAGACTTTCTAAAAGGAGACTTAAAATACCAATTTTTAAAATAGGTTCTATAGCAAAGTTGTTGTTAATGAGCAGAGCGACCACTTTCAGGAATAGTGTAAAGGCAGAAAATAAGAATTCAAAAGCAAATTTTAAAAATTACAATTCTTATTTGGATATGAGACAACTCTATCTGGTAAGGTAAAGACAAAGTAAATTGTCTTCCAAAGAAACTGACATCTTAGCTGCATCACTAATAGCACGTGGGAGGGACTACTTTAGTTTGGGATTACATTTGGCATGGACTGGTGGATCGATGGTTCTGTTTCCATGCTGTGTGACTCTATGACTGCTAGGATCAATCGATCATCAAGCTGCCTAGCCAAGAATTTTTAAATTGGGACATCTTCAAGCACAAATAACATTCCATTTCTTCTGCAAGAACAGGTAATACTCAATTTCCTTCCTCCAAAAACTAATGAATTTTAGGATAGCCTCGGCCAACAGGTGCAGATCCCTAAGCTTCCTGACTTGCATGGAATCTACCAATATCTTGACCTCCAAGGCTCCAACCCAGCACAAGGTGGGGTTCCAAACTGACCTGATCTCAAAGGAAAAGTCGGACAGTGAAACGATGAATGGGCATATACTGTTTTTATGATGTTTATGATTTGCACCTTGAGTTTTACAAATTACAGCACTGGTGTTACCATGGTACCCAAAAACTGAAGTATACAGATTTTAAGACCAGTGCCCAGTTTCTACAAACGTGAATATTCCTGGAGTGTGTAAATATCTGGCAGAAGCAGCACGTTTCCAACAGGACGCAGCAAAATCATAACTTCACACCTCGGTAGGAAATGAATTACTACAGGCTGTTGCCTGTAATACCTACATGATCAGCCTCTGAGATAAATCCATATCCACTATTGCAATGGAATTGCAGGAAGTTAAATATTTCCCTTAAGACGCAGGCTGCAATATTTAAGAACATGCAAACTTAGTAACTTTTTTGGAATACCCTGGATATCTTAAAGTATATAATCAACTCTATTACATCAATTTTGCCAGGAATTGGCAAAAAAAACAGAAATAAACTTATAGAAATGGTTCCAGGCCTGCCCATCACTTCAGAACATCAACCGTTAGAGACAACTGCTTGTATTTTGGGTAAATAACACCGTAGAAATACAATTCAGAATTCACTGTGATTAACAAAATTTGGCACTTTTTATTTAAATAGCTGCGATGTAACTCCTTTCAGTTAATGTGTCCATAATACATTACTTCATTGAGGCACAAAAGGTTACCAGAACTATCAGCTCTCTGTAAAGTTCTTTGCTTCAAACTGAAGTGTGATATTGAGTTTAGCAGAGTAACTGACTGATGAAGTGTTGACCCTATTATATGGCTGAATGTGGCAGCCAATTTGAAATAGCATGGCCCAACCAACAGCAAATTAATAAATCACAGTCTGTCAGTTTAGAAGGTGTCGATAAGGAATGATGTTGGCCAGGACACCAGGAGATCTGCCTAGGCTTCTTTGAATCCTGTCACAGGATCTTTCACTTCTACACAAACAGACCTGGCCTCCATTAAGTGCTGAAAGACAGCACTGCCTCGATGTGCACAAGGTGCTATGTAAATGAATGTTATTGTTGTTAACTTTGATGATTCCATGATCAATACCAATATCAGATATATTTTAAGAATCGCCTATTCTCACTGCTGTGTTTGTGATGGTATTGCTGCAGAAGTGAGGTCAGGTTTGTCTATTAAATAAGAGTTGTTGCAACTTTAAACTAATTAGTTTATATGCAACTAATAAGACTATAGAAATGAAACTACAATCTGCTGTAGGTTACTGACAAAAAACTAGCATTGTAGTCCTGCCTTAGGCAATAAGCAATTTTCACGGTCATTTAAGCATTTATTTTTGTTTTCCTAGCAAGCTTGGTGGATCATTTTGTGGACTCCAAGTAGATAAAAAGGGAGCTATAATCCTCTGTTACACATTTGGCCTCTTGCAGTTCAGCTGCAATCAATAGGTGCACTTCATCTGCCATTTAAACAAGTGACAGAGAATTTGGGACAATCAGACAGCCCTTTGATACCAGCGCTGATTCCACTCCCTAGTCTTTGGTATTGCTAAACAATTGTTCCAAGTATCAGTTATGTTAGATGTCAATTGACAGAGTCAAGGTCAACATCAAGTCAGAGTAGTATCTGTGCTGCTGAAATCTGCATTTTCCCTCCTAATAGTTACAAGAACATTTCTTAGAACATGAATATTTGCAGAGCTTGAGGTCACATGGAGAACAGTTAAAAATGTTCATAGCAGCCAAGTAATCAATTTACTTCATAATTGGAGAACAGCACAAAAATTTGTATATGGCCTGCTTTACATCTGAGCAATATTGACTTGTGGCTTCATTTTTTTGAGTCTCTCTGCACATTAACAGACAGTTTGCTCTCTCTCATAAAACTACTCATAAAAGAAGCCCTGTTAAAATAAACAAAATCACTTGAGATTTCATATAATATTTCAACTATTTAATTAAAAATAGCACAAAGTTAGCAATAGTTACACGTATTGGTGAGAAGATGATGAGCTTTCTCTACCACCTAGTGGCTGCTACTTCAGCAGCAGATTATGATTGAAAAGCAGAATTGCATGAACCTCAGGTAGTATTAACTGCAATTAAAAACAATCACCATGCATTTTAAATATAAAATATAAGGAATTAATGGGAAAACACACATTTGACATTTTTCAACATGACATATTGAAGAAAAACATTGTACACCAAGTTATTAGTATCTACAATACAGTCTGTGAATGATTTAGTTACACTGTAACTTTAATCATGGCATTTTGATCAATGTTTAAGTACATGAGTATGAGATTGGTAAAAGAATTAAGTTGTATTTAAGCTCTGCAGCATCTCTGATGCAAATTGACACTCTTTTGCTGAACAGAGATTTACGCCATCAACGAGCACTACAATGATGTATGATAAGTTGCTTTAGGAGAGACAAGTTCCTTAACACATTGACAGAAATATCACACACCGCTGAAAAAGTAATAAAAAGAATGCACGTCGATGATTAGCCAGGATATCATCTAGTACAGACACAGGACTGCCACGCTACAGCAGAACAACAAAATCAGTCAAAATCAATTAAATCTAACACACTTGACTGTTATACTGAGGCTTCCACTGAATCTTAACCAAGGGCATCATTCATGCTTTCAAAGGGTAAATGCTAACTAATGAATATGCAAATTAAAAATAATGTTCTTTTAAATATCTGCTGGCATTTTGCTGCCATTTGGACCAATATGGTAACATGCACATGACAGCTCAATAGCAAAGGCTGCGTACTCACTAACATGGATGTCAGGTACCATGACAGGCCGTCAATAAATCTCATCAGTATTTTAACTCTCTTCGAAAGTTTTCATTAAGGCTTGATGTTTATACAAAGATAAATGAGGTTTTCAACAGAAGTTGCCCATTTACAGCCAACAGGATGGGAGTCTACGTAATCTACACTTTATAACAGTAATCCTCATTTTAGGTCATATTAAATCATCCATAATGGCCAAGACAGAAAAGCAAATCTGTTTAAAAGTAGCTGGTACATCAGTGGTAATTGATCATACAGTTTTTTTAAAAACTCTTATTACTGGATTAATCAATTTCTGCTCTTTGTGTTATGTCGAGAATAAGCAATGTAGAGCAGTGACACTTGAATTAGTCATTTCTTCTTCACCAAGGAAATGTAATACATGATTCTTGGACATACAGTAGCAGTTGCTCGTCATTAAAAAAAACTGTTAACAAATACAATGGATTCTTTATTTGAGAATCTGTCCAGTACACATTCACACATCTTATTTAAAAAAAAATTCCCAAGTGAATGAAATGAAAGTTATTTCCCAGGAACATAAAATATCATTGCCAGAATATCTGCAGGCTTTTATTTGGCTATTTCATGAGCTGTTTTTCCTCAACAACAGAAGAACAATACATTGTTTCACCCTTAGTAACATAGCAGATTTGCCAGTAATAGGATACAAATGTCTTATTGAAACATCCAAGATTCATTTTTGTTTCCGAAATTGAGAACAATCTTGAAGTGTTCTTTGCTTCACTCTAAATCACCAGTTCTGAATGTTAATTTTAATTAATGAAATTTACTAAGAAAAAGCAATTGATTTTTGGACTTCTATTACTGTATTACTCTGGTGTACAGTTCAATAATCGTTGGCAGTTTTGGAGTACTGGTCCAAGTAATCTTTCTCATATGTGTCCCTAAACTACAAGGTATTCAAAGGCATCAAAACCTTAAGACTAGGTTTGCCCTCCCTTAACATCTACATCATTAATTAACTATTTGCAAACGGCAATCAGAAACCAGTATCCTGCTCCTACCCTCAGTTGCTGGCCCAGGTGTCTGTCCCAAGGTAGTAACTCTACTGTAGTAACAACCTAGGATGGTATAGTGACCTGAGAGTCTGTACACAACAGCATGGAGTGTGTGCAAAATATCTATTAAAAGGGGAAAAATCTCAGATGCAATTTTTAAAA